CCCCCCCCCATCTCTCTCCCCCTCGCTCACACACAGGCACATTCAATGCTTACTTGCCTCTCCTTCTCTCAATAACAAAGCAAATATTAACCCTCCTCCCGCCACTTTGGGCAAATCCCCAAGGGAGGGTTCCCCAGGGCCTAGCAATAGGAAGATTAGGGAAAGCAGCCTTCTAGGGTCGAGAGTTCAGAAATGGGCTTTCTTTCTTTTTTTTTTTTTATCGTTAGCACGGGACAGGTCTGGAATTAAGCAACTGGAAAGCCTAGTAGGAGATCTGGCTCATTCCCATTAGCAATTGCCATTAGAAGAGACGCCTTTGGGAGTCTGGATTGCTGCTCCGAGACTGACTTCTGGAGAACCAACCCGGATGGCAAGCCTGGAAATGCATTCTCAGATTTGGGTGCATTTGGCTGCACAAAGACAGAAAAGGTGTGCTTTTGGAAGGTGTCATTACAGTTTCAGACAATTCCAGTTGAGCATCCTCAACTGGGGGTGAATTAAGGCCAAGTGACAGAGGGGTCAACTAAGTTACTCAGATAAGAAACATGCACTAACATGTACTAACTGCTGACAACTGAATTTTCCTGTCAGAGTAAAAAGCAAGCACACAGTATATGCAATGGGATGAAAAAAGGAAGATTGTTCAAAACGACTTAAATATTGGTGGTTTACAGAATATGTACATGGATTCAGATTGCCATTTAATTCCAGATTCCAGAAACCTATCTTACTTAGATAGGTAATATGAAACCTTCTTCCTAGAGACTTAAGTGTGTGCAACACAGCCAGAGGAAGCAGAGAGAGGGAGAGAGAGAAAGAGAGAGGGAAGGGGAGAGGGAGGAGGAGGGAGAGGAGAGCTTATTTATATATTATACATATCTCCACATATGTAATATAAATATATATAGCACACTCTCACTTTTCATTTTAACATTACTACAGGATCTGCATTAGAAAAACATGATTGGTATAAACTGATACATACTTAGTGCCAAGGGTCACATATTTTTTGTGCAGATGGTTGCTGACATAGTTAGCTTCCCCAGAGCCCTCACAAGTATTTCCAAATAAAAATGTAGGCATTTAATTTTTAAAATTTTAATTAAAGAATAAGAAATCTGCCTACTGTAATCCTTACTGCTGTTGCTGCTGCTGCTACTACTACTACTAGTAGTGCTTTAAAAACAACTAAGTGAGGTGCTGGCAAGATGCTAGGATGTAGACTATAGATGAGAGGAGTCAGAGAAGATACATCACTTTGGAGAAATTGTTAATAAAAAGGCACAGTACTGCACTGGGTCACCCAGTTCTTTCTACTCAAAGCCTCCATTCTGCCAAGACTTTTTTAAACATCATATCTTGTTCCACAACTTATCCCCTCATGGTCCATTTGTTCAATTTTAACACAAAGCTTTCTCACTTAGAACCCTTCAATTCTTCCTGTCCCCCTTCTTCTTATGTTTCATCCCAAAATGGAAGCAAAGTGCTAGGCGGATATGAAGAAATACCAAATGGTCTTCTTCTTGCACTATATTGTCATCTGAGAAAAATGGCACCAAATATGAAAATTAGCTCAGATGCATCCAGAACCATGGAAAACATTTCAAAAGCAGCAACAGAGATAGAAATCTAAGTCTTTAGAAAAATAGATCTGAAGAGCATCAAATAAGTCAATTTAGAAGATTATGGGTGTTGGGAAATAGCATTGCTAATGTAGCTAAATCTTTTGAAAATGAACATGAAATTACCATCTATTCAGATATATTTATTAATTTTTTTCTGAAACCACAGAGCAATACTTCATTTCCTAAATAAATTCTGAAGATTAAATGCTAGTAAATGTTGAGTCTTATGTATCTACATTTGAAATAATTAAAACCATGTAAAATTGGGTTGACATTAAATAAAGCTGAGATGACTGATTAAAATAAGCTATTTTAGTGATTTACATAAAATACAGTTCATCATAATATTTTCAGAACAACAGAGCAAATGAAAATTGAATTTTTTGTAATGCAAATGTTAAATTTCTGATGCATAACAATGTAGTAAGATGAAGTATATTGGTACATTGAATTTCTTAAAAATATAAATATGTATCCATGTGCATTACACATTGCTTCTTTCAGATAACTATTTGTAAGCTCCTCTTTTAGATTCCGAAGGTAAATTTAGAATAAGACAAAGGAGAGAAAGAATGGTAGCTGTAGCTTTTCAGTTGGATGTAGTCCCATGTGTTTATCTTTTCCTTAATTTTCTTTGTTTTGGGTGAAGTGTCTTTAAATATGTTGTTGAGATGTATGTCTTGTAGTGCTTTACCTATATTTTCTTCTATATATTGGTCATATCTATAGCTGTATATAATTTATATATTGATCTCATGCCCAAATCTTTTATTCAGTTTGAGCTGATTTTTGTGCATGGTGTGAGGTTATGGTATATCTTCATTCTTTTGTTTATGTTAGTCTAGTTTCCCAGCATCATTTGTTAAACAAACTGTCCTTGTGACATTGAATATTCTTTGCTCCTTTGTCAAAGATTAGTTGTCCATATGTGTGTGTGTTTATTTCTGGGATTTCTACTTGGTTCCCTTGGTCTGTCTGTTTTTGTTCCAGTACCACACTGTCTCAATTATTATGGCTTTGTAGTATAGATTTCCCTTTGTTTTCATTAGTAGAGCTTTGGCTTTTCTTGGTTGCCTGTGGTTGCATATACATTGCATCAGTATTTGTTTTATTTGAAAATGTTGTTGATATTTTTATTGGAATATCATTGAATCTGCAAATTGCTTTTGGTAGGATGACCATTTTAATAGTATTGATTCTTTCAGTCCATAAGCAGGAGAACTGAAAAGCTTCAAAACAGCAAAAGTGACATTAACCAAGACAAAGAGACACCCTACTGTCTGGGAAAAAAAATCTTTGCATTCCATACAACGGATAAGGGACTGATCATAAATATATAAAAAGAGCTCACTTGAATCCACAAACATAAAGCAAACAACCCAGTCAAGAATTGGGCAGAAGAACTTAAAAGACATTTATCCAAAAAGGAGTTGCAAATGGCCAACAGACATGAAAAAATGTTCAACATCCCTCATAATCAGGGAAATGCATATCAAAGCCACAATGAGATACCACCTCACACCAGTGAAAATGGCATATAGCAAAAAACTAACAACAACAAATGTTGAATGAAACATTTGGATGGTAAAGAAGGAACTCTCCTACAATGTTGGTAGGAATGCAAACTGGTACAACCACTATGGAAAGCTATATGGCAATTCCTCAGGCTACTAAAAATATGACCCAGCAATTCCACTCCTAGGGAATCTACTCAAAGGACACAAAAGCATTCATTCCAAAGGATATATGCACCCCTATGTTTATTGTAGCACTACTTACAAAAGGTAAATCCTGAAAACAACACAAGTGCCCAAAACTAAATGATTGGATCAAGAAAATGTGATATATATATATACATATATATGTATATACAATGGAATATTACTCAGCAAGCAAAAAGGATAAACTCATGTCATGCACAGCAACATGGATGGAGCTGGAAGAGATTATGCTCAGTGAAATGTCAGAAGGAAAAAGAAAAATATTGAATGGCTTCACATATGGGAGGAATTTGAGAACCAAATAAGACAGGGAAAAAAGTATATTGTTATTACAATATAAAATACAACACAACACAACAAAAACAAACAGACAATTATAAACAGAGATATCCTACAAGAAAGGGGGATAGAGAGGGATCAGAAGGAGGGAGGAATGTGGGGTGCTATGGTGATGGTGGATGTGGAAGGGGCTAAACATTGTTTTAAAATAAACAATACTGTGTATATATATATATATATATTAATTCTTTGAAATATATGGTTTATATATATATATATATATATATAAACCATATATATATAAACCATATATTTCAAAGAATTAACATGGAATCGATTTGTTAGGAATTCTATTATTAAACTCTGCAGTACCTGGTTATGACACTTGTGCCAACCATTGCCCCTCTTTGTTGCTTTCTCTGTTAAAGTAGGTAACTGAATATAACATACTGAGGTTCTTGTAATGTAAGATACTTGTATCTGTAGAAAAAAATGAGTATTGATTTCCAGTTGAGATATGTCCATACCCCCTAGACCTGCAAAGACCAAAATATTCCCATTATATGGCTTAATAACTATAAACCAATAGACTTATTTGTGATTAAAGGAACCTAGAACACCCGAGGCATGCTTTGGATTCTCTTATCTAGATGCATTTTAAGAGAGACCTTTTACTTGAGAGCATCAGGCCAAGGGAAGTCTCTCACTGAGGAGAATAGAGAAAGCTAGAAGCAGCCCTTAATGGAAACTATTAGATCTTTGAATGTTTTTGTACTGTTAGGGAAAATATCTTGCTTCT